TGCACAGCCATGCTGGCCTCCCCTTCGACCAAGTCGCTCAGGGTCTATGAATTTGCTGAGATCTGGAAGTCGGGTAAGAGGCCATGATTCTTCATTGCAACGACTCAAGTCAGACTCGAGGCTACCAGGCCTTGTGCTCTCCCGGGTGCGTTTCCTATCTAAACCAAGGTTGTAGCAGGCTGCCCATCTCTTTCACTCCTGGGGACACCATGATGAATTTGCCGCCACCAAAGATCTGTGTGGGCCAAGGTGTGTTGATTGCTTCTGCATCCCTGCTGTCCTTGATGCTGGATGTACCCACTTTGTCTTTGGCAGTGAAGTGATGATGCCACTTGGCTTCTGCCACTCTGCAATCTCATCATTCCCATTGAAATCAGGGCATGCAGCTCGGTGGCAGCATCCCCTGCTGTCATGCCTGGCCTATAAAGGACTGCAACCATAGAGATTTTCAGGGATGCAGGCGTGCCGCTCACCACTGTATTTTTCAATTCCTCAGGGAAGGAAGTATCTCCTGGGCCCTCTTGCAGAACACAGTTGAAGGATGGGTGTGCAGGTTTCACTTGATAGATCCAGCCCAGCATTCCTATCCACTAAGCATTTGAGTTCCCTCCTCCGCCTCATGCCAGGGAAGCTCTGCCATCTCAGCTTCATTACCTGGAGGTCACGGGTGAGTCCAAGTTTTAGTCAAGAACCAACCAAATAATTTGTTAGCTCCACCTTCCGCTGGTGGCAGGAAAACTTCCAAAGATCCCCGTCTCCTGCTATTCATTCCTTTATGTAACTCCCTTCCTTTCAGTATAGGTGGGCTTGTGACATGCTTCGAACCAACAGAATATGACCGAGCTGATGAGTGGTCACTGCTGTGATTAGCTTCTATAAGGTGGTAGCAGGCTCTCTCCGTTGCCTTCTGAGCGTGCAGGCTTTGATAAAGTAAGCAACCATGCCAAAGAGGTCCATGCGGGCAGCCTTCAGCCAGGCCACTTAGTAACTGAGGCCTCCGGCCCAATAGCCTGCAGGAAACTGACTCCTGCAACACCCTCGTGTGCCTGGAAGTGGATGGTTTTCCAGGGAACTCTTCTGATGAGACTGCAGCTCTGGCTGACACCTGGATTGCTGCCCCGTGAGAATCCTGGCCCAGAGGAGCCACTTCAGCCATGCCCAGGTTCCTACCCCATAGAAGCTGTGAGATTAAAAGTGTGTGCTGTTGTAAGCCTTGAAGTTTGTGGTAATCTGTTATGTGACGATAGATGATTAATGCATAGTTACACAAACTAGCACTTTGAATTCAGATTCTCTCGTAAGTGCAGCTATGCCAAAACATGGGGCCTGGTCTGATGTTGTATTAATATTTCTCCCTCCATGGTCTAACACCCTTAGAATCCACTCTGCACGTGGTACCCAGGTTTCTGCCCACATATAGAAGCAAAGTCTTGTAATTCTTTTGGTGGTAAAGTGTGTACTTGCCCCTGCAGCATGCTGGGATTGGAGCCCAGCTGTGGGTCTAGTGACAACAGGGTAGCTGTGATGGATCTTGAGATGAACGGGCACCTCCTTCCAGGGCATCTGCCCTGGGTGAGTTTATCCCATGGTTTTCAAGCAGAGGAGAGCCAGTCTCTTCTGACATGAGACGGCTAGCCACCTCCACTTGCAAGGGAGGCTCCGTGTGACTTGGGGACTCAAGATTGACAGTCTCATTTGGATCCAATCAGATGTTTTCATTCCAAGTTTTGAGATCTGATTCTTCACTAATCAGGGCTCTAACTTTCACCTGAGAAACTTGTTGAGCGCATGAATTCAATTGTTATACCTCAGCAGCCTGCACAATTAAACTTGTATCTGATTTTCATCAGCATCAGCCCTGCAGCTAAATGAAATAAGAGCCTCTTTTACAGCTGTCACCGCAGCTCGCTGGTTCTCAGACTGTGACTTGAGCTGAAGGCTAACGGATCCAAGCTTTCCATTTTCTCTTTGTAAGAGCTTGCGTACACTCAAAAGTATCCACACCTCACCAAAATCTTTATAGTCATCATTACTGCTGTTATGGTCAAGTTCAGGAGCCACATGGGTTCCTTAGATGGGAGCCACTTCATCGCAGTCAACAGCAGGTGATAGTTGATTGATGGCAATGCTGAGCCATATAGGGGTTACTAACATCCCATTTCCCATTGGCAAGGAGCTCAGCTCTGTGTTCAAGTCCAAAGGCATGACCAAACCAATCCCCAAATCCCATCCATCACCTGGAACCACTCTTGGTACCAATTTTGTGTCAGTCAGGGTACATCTGCCCACTTCCCACAGCCTTTAGCTAGGGGTCCCCTCGCAGCCTGTGGGGCGTGCAGGAGATGATGTGGCCCCCTGTGGATGAGAAAACAGAGGGGAAATAGTCTCCAAGATCAGCCAGTGAAGACACCTCTGAGTTGGAGCTTGAACCCAGGTCTCTGGGCTACAAATTTGGCGCTGTGGCTGCTGCGAGACACTGCCTCCTGGTGGCCGCCCCAGCCACAAACAGCCGGAGATGGGATTCTTGGATGGCTTCAAGCAAATTTCCCCCGGGGCGGCCACATTCCATGCAGCACACACACCAGCGAGCCTCTTCCCACCCTGGCTGCCGGCTCCTCTAGGAGCAACTTGGGGGATTCCTACACATTTAATCCCTACTGTGTGCTAAGTACTGAAGATGGTCGTTCCATGTTACCCTCCCTGCAACCTTGCAAGGTGGGTGCTATCACCCCCAGCTATGCAGGGTGGGGGTGACGGGAGAAAACGAGGCTTAGAGAGGCAAAGAGACTTGTCCAAGGCCACACAGTTGGAAGGCACCAATGTGGGAGCTTGAATCAAAACCGGAGGAAAGATAGGCCCAACATTCCCATTCCTTGGCTCTGGGAGCCCCCGTGGAGGCAGAGATGAGGGCAGGAACGGGTGCAGAGGTTGGCTGGTCAACAGAATGCCAGTCCAGGCTGGGCAAACGATGGGTGCTCTGGGGGTGGGGAGTTTCCGTCCTGCTGTGGAGATTCCTGAAGGAATTGTGGTGGGAAGCAGGGGTTCCCCTTCAAGGGGACAGGGGAGACACTCTGGAGGGACATTTGACACCCACCCTTCTGTAATGATCAGAGTGGGAGTAAATGGAGCTGGGCCTCAGAGTAATTGGCCGGGGAGCCCTGAGTCTCGGCTCGCCCAGGGTCCCAAAGGCCCCGGAGCGAATGAAGCAAATTCTCACAGTGTCAGAGGCCGCCTTCAGCACCCTGCAGAGGACGCAACTTTCAGCAGCCGCTTTTCAAGGTTCCAAAAAGAAAGAAGGGGGGGCAGAAAAGGGAGGCGTTGTTTTCATGCCTCTTGCTTCATTTGCATAAGGTGAAAAAATGTTTCCATAGAAACAACCAGAGTCTGTAATTTTTGAATAACGATTTCTGCACACAGCACAACCTGTCTTTTTTCCAAAGGGGAATTAAGAAATTCTCAACAGCATTTCTCACCACAACAAAAGGCAAAGTTTCCCAATTCTAGGATTGCTGCTCCAGAAGGGAGGGCCTTGGCTCCAGCCCCTGCCCTCTCTGGGCCTCAGTTTACTTCTCCTGTGAAATGGGGCGAGTGAGGGCAGAATTAGGCAGGGATGAAGCCGCCTGGAAGGGGAGGGCGGGCGCTGGAGTGAGACGGGATTCCTGTGTCAGGGCTGGGAGGCAGCAGGGCTGGGCAGTGCTGTAAGGAGCTTTCCAGAAGAGGCGGGGGCAGGGGCTGAGGACCCAAGGACCACCCAGGCCACACGGAGAGGCCCCTGCCCGACCCTGCCCCCCGGGGTCTCCTCTGGAGGCAGTGGAAAGCGGGCGTGCAGGACCCCAGAGCGCAGCCAGCGGACCCGGCTTACCTGAGCCAAGGCTGCGGCCTCGCTGGGCGCCTCTGCCCCCTTGTGGCCTGAGGCTACCGCAGCACCCACTTGCCCGGGGCACTGACCTGTGTCGCCGGCTCCAACAGGGCCTGACCTCCCTCCTGGTGCCTTTGCAGAGGGGGAGCAGCCACAGGGTCTGGGGGTGAGGTTGGGCTGGGAGAGGGACCCCAGGATCCTCTGGCCACCTGTCCTCCTCCCAGGCCTTGGCACACGTGGTTCCATGGAGGGGCTCCCTGGGGCACCTTGGGAAGTGCAGATTCCCGGGCCTGCCTCTGCAGGTCTGACTCAGGAGGTCAAGAGGTGATGGTTAAAGTGGACAGGACCAGAGTGAGGCCTGCAGAGGGTAACGTGGGGGACTTGTCTGCTCCCCCATATTACAGATGAGAAAACTGAGGCCCTGCGTGGGGGGCCCCACAGGTCCGTAGCTTCCCACCAAAGAGGCCCTGCCTGTTCTGCCCATCCTCTGACCGCACAGTGACCAAGGTAGCTGGGTGGTCTGGGTCTGCGGAGGACGGTAACCGGGGCTGTTGTCCTTGGGCTCCCGGTCTGCCTTTATTTATCCCTCTCATTTAACTGAGGGCTGATTGCTGCACTGGGACTGGAGCTGGGCAGGCAGCGGTGCCTGGTATATCTGGCTTAATTACAGCTGGAGGAGACGGGAGCAATGAGGCGTGAGCTGCTGGTGACTCCAATGCAGGAAACGAGCGTGCAGACGTCCTTCCCTCCTCGTTTTTAAGAACTACATGTACAATGCCTCCCCGATTAAAACATAATCACCCCACTGGATGGTGATTTTTGGGGGGCAGCAGGGTCTACCCTCAGCCTAACTTCTGGAACCCCTCCTCACTCTGGTGCTCTCCCCTCTAGCCTCCATCTCCCGACCTCCCCCAGCAGGCTTCCGACTGTCCCCTGGGCTCCAGGTGGCAGGGACGGGTTTAGAGAGGTGGCACTGTGAGGTGTGGGGGAGGTGGCACTGCGAGGTGTGGGGGAGGTGGCACTGTGAGGTGTGGGGGAGGTGGCACTGTGAGGTGTGGGGGAGGTGGCACTGTGAGGTGTGGGGAGGTGGCACTGTGAGGTGTGGGGAGGTGGCACTGTGAGGTGTGGGGAGGTGGCACTGTGAGGTGTGGGGGAGGTGGCACTGTGAGGTGTGGGGGAGGTGGCACTGTGAGGTGTGGGGAGGTGGCACTGTGAGGTGTGGGGGAGGTGGCACTGTGAGGTGTGGGGAGGCCCGGCTCGTGGTGGTGGGTCCTGAACAGAGGCTGCCATTAGGGTTGCAGGCAAGACAGATGGGCACAGATGGGCAGACCCGATGGCTCTGGAAGTTCAGGGGGTGGCCCAGGGCGGCCCACCCTGCTGGGGCTGCGGTTTTCCTGGGCAGCCGGATGTTGGCTGGCAGCACTGGGCACAGAGGAGACAGAAGCACAGAACCGGAACCAGGCGGCCCAGCCCAGCCCTCTGTGCCCTGCGGCAGGACAGCCTCCAGTCAGGTAAAACAGGGGGTGGCCTTGGGGCTTGCACAGACGGAACATGTGCCATGTCATTGGGAAGGAGCTCACCAGGAGAAAGATGGGGCCTTGGGGAAGTGGCTTCCTGCTGTGGAGCCTCAGTTTCCTCATCTGTGACATGGGGCTTTTGTGAGGGTTGCTGCGAGAATGAAGAGGAGTGATCTGTGAACAGCCAGCTCACGGCTGAGTGCCCCTTGGCTTGGAGGTGGAGAAAGAAGATGGGGCTGTTCTCTTCCCCAGCTGGAGTCTTGGAGGAGAGCAGCTGCCCAGGGGGAATGGAAAGTTAGGTCCGAAGGCCGCTTTGAAAGGGTTGGAGGCTGGTTACCCTGAGCCCAGCTCCGTGTTGGCTGCTATCAGCTGGCTCACTGGTGCAAACCTCAGTGCCTTTTTGTTTTGGTGGGAATTAGAGCCTATGGGGGCGCATGTATTTAGAAACCATAACACTCCATCGGCACGTGCGAGAGTGGTTTGCAATGGAACTCAGTCTTCACAATGCTGAGGAAACACAGTTGGGAAACTGAGGCACACGGAGAAGGTGGCTCACCCAGGGCCACACGGCGGGGAGGTGTGGCAGCTCTGATGGGGGCGTCCAGCCTGGTGGCATCTCAGCATATGCAGTTAGGGGGCTCCTCTTAGGGAGAAGGAATACCAAATCCTGTGGCAGTGGATATTCCGACAGGAGTGAAATCCCAAGAAAAGGCCCATTTTATATCAGGCAAATATTAGAGATGGCAATGCAGCCAGGTCCTCCCTGCCAGGAAGGGTGGAAACCCTGAAGAATCAGCACCCGCTGTCCCTTGAACCCAGGCCTGGACTCCTGCCCCAGTGCTCTTTCCACGGAAGCAGCTTCCTCGAATGCACCCGGTTTCCTGGGAGTGAGCTTCTTTGCCACCGGAATGAACGAACAATCCAGATGAGGATTTCAGGATGGTTCCGCCCTGCCTGCCTCACAGCGCCCTTCCCAGAACAGGCGGGGGAACGCGAGGCAAGGTGGTTCTCGCCTGGAGCCGGGTGGGTGGCCTGGGGGGCAGAGGCAGGCTCTGAGTTCTGCACCTATTTACATATCCCCTGCCCACTGTCCGGGCGCTCCTTCCCTTCCCTGGTTCCTCAAGGCACAGCTCCCCCGGGCAGATGAAAGCTTCATGGAGTTTTGCGACATGAAAGTCAGTCGGAGGAAAGAGCCTTGAACAGTTCCGCGTGAAAGAGAGAGGCAAGTGCCCGAAATTATTTTACGACAAAGGCAGCTCTCTCTGCCACAAAGGCACGGAGGAGAAAGGAGCCCTGGAAACAGGTCATTTCTTTCGTGGAAAAATGGAAACTGCTCTGAAGCATTTTGGGAGACATGCTGCGAAGTAGGTGACATCGGAAGACGAGGACACTGGGGGCTCCCTGCCAGGAGGTGCAAAAAGCAACTCCCGTTCGAGGGTCAGAGGAGCCTGGACGCTAATGTCTCTTGAAGGTGACTGGGAGCCAGTTGCCGGAAAGGCCACGCCCTCAGGAACACAGGTAGGTCCCAGCTCAGGTGAGCCTGAACCTTCTGCCCCATCAGGAGGTTCCTGTGGGAGGAGCTCAGGCGGGGAAGAGTCGGAAGTCAGGGTTTCGTGCCTCCCTTGTTGGTTTTGGGGTTCCCTTTAAGGTGGACACCCAGTGTGAGCAGTGGGAGGTGAGGGTGGAGCAGAGGACAGCAAGGGTGGCGGTTCAGGTACAGTAAACCTGCAGGGAGCAAATGCCTTTGTCCTGGGTGTGAAAGGGTAAGGCCCCATTCTAGGTCATTTTAGGTCATTTATTCATTCAACAAACATGGGTTGAACTGTGTCTTAGGCAGGCCTCAGAGAAGCTCAAGAAAAGTAAGATGCTGTCATTGCCCCGAGGGGCCACTGGCCGGCATGCAGGTCAACTGTGACAAGCTGTGGTCCAGGTGAGGGTGGGGTCTGGACAAGCCAGGGGGGTCCACTATGGATAAGCCAGGGAATGGAGAGAGGCCCCAGAGAGGGGCTATCGAGACAAGTCTTAGGGCGTGAACTGTAGGTGGGGAGGGGAGGGAGAACCTTCCAGCAGGAGGATGCACCTGTGGCTAAGGCTTGGAGGTGCAGGGAATGCCCCCAAGCACCTGGGGCCAGGGTGCAGGGTGTGGCCAAGACAACAGTCCTGGAGCTGGACAGCCTGAGGGGCCACATCGTGCTGGGCTCTGTTTCCGGTGGGGAGGAGTGGGACAGTCCCTGTGGACAGTAGGGGGCTACTAGGGACCCTGGGAGTGGCAGTGAGGGCCGATACAGGATGTGGCCAGGTGGCGCTGGCTCGGGTAAGTGGAATGGGGAGGGGAGCAGAGGCTGCAGCCAGGAGGGCAAAGGGGAGGTGGCTAGGCCATGGAGGGGAGGAGAAGCGTGGGGAGAGGGGCATTAGGGGAGCTCCAGAAGGCCCCTGGTGTCAGAGCAGAGGGCAGACCTGCTCCTCCTCCTCTCTCCCTCTCTGCAGCTGCAGCCAACAGGCCTTGTCCCCTCCCCTCCAACCCAGGTGACTTCCGTGCCTCTCTGTGTCCTCCAGGGTGCTGGGCCCCTGGCCAGCCTGTGGCTCCTCCATGCCCCTGAGTGTGTGGGCAGATCTACGGGTTGAGAGGACATCAGGGCAGGGCCCACCCTGAGCTAAGTCCAGTTGTCATGGATTTTTCTCTGTTTGTTCCGTCTTAGAGTCAGACCTAGCACAGCGCTGACCAACCCAGCAGTTGTGCCAGCCCAGGACATATACAGGAGGTCACATGTGCGGCCTGAGCCTACCCTGTCTCAGTCCAGGGCTAGGAGGCTGAGGGTCTGGCTGGGGGCAGCATCCCTGGGCAGTGGGTGTGGCCGGGGGCTCCTTGCTGGGGGACATGCCACAGAGCCCCGCTTCACCACTCGGGGCTGTCCCCGTCCAGTTGCAGGGGGACCTGCTTGAAGCCAACCCCAAACTCATGAGGAGTGAATTTGATGGGTCTGGGTGGGAGTCACTTGGCATAAAGGGGGCTGGCTCCTATGAGAATTCCCAGGAGGATTTAAAACCTCAGGAGCTTGCCAGACTTCTGCTAGCTGGGGCCAGGGCACTGCTGTGGCTCCTCAGCTCTCCCGCTAGGGAGATGGGGCTAAAAGTCTTGCTCTGCCCACCGCGGGGGCTTCTTGGGAGAATAAAACGAGGCCAAGCGTCTCCAGAAAGCTTGGGTCTTCTGCGATGAGGGGGCTGGGCTGGAAGCCCCACAGAGCTAATATCAGAAGAGCAGGGCAATAACCCACATTTCATAATCCTTGAACTTGGACGAACAGACACTGGGTTCCATGTCAGTAGGCCCAAGGCCGGAAGGGTGGCTCCCCGCCTTCTGAAGACCGGGCTCAGAGGCCCAGATGGGGATTCTGGGGCCTTCGGGTCCCAGCACCATGCCCGACATGAGAAGATAAGCTCAGGCCTGCGTTCCCTCTAGGCTGGTGGGTGGGAATCTGGGATGGGATTTGTGCGAGGTGAGGAAAATTGTTTCCAGTTCCCTCCTTATGGGGCCTGAGCTGGGCCCCTGGGTCTACCACTGGGGCAGGCCTGGGCCCAGCTGTGGACAGCTGCCATGCCGGCCACTTCACCTCTGGCTCTGCCAAGCCTTGTCCCCAGGGGGCCGCCCTCTACCCTGGCTCTATTTTACTGGAAAGGAGGCCCCGGAGGCCAGGAGGTGCCTGGTCAGCCCACGCCAACACCGGCCAAACAGCCTGGAGGACTTTTCACGTGGGAAGCCAGACCAAATCTCTGGGCTCCGTTTTCCTGCTAAAGGGAAACAGAAAACCTGGAGCCCATCAGTTGTCATTAGGGATGGAGGGGACAGAAGGGACAGGGCCACCTCCATCCTGTCCCTCGAGACCTGAGACAAAGATGTATGTCATTGGGGATGGAGGGGACAGAAGGGACAAGGCCACCTCCATCCTGTCCCTCGAGACCTGAGACAAAGATGTACAAGGTGTGGAGCAGGCAGCAGGACCAGGTTCACTCCCAGAAACCCGGGCTTGGTGAACTAGGGGAGCCTGAGGCTTCGGGGTGACCAGAGAGAACGAAACGCCGTGAGAGAGCTTCCGTACAGGGAGGCTCGCAGCAAGTGAGCGGTGAATGTTAGCCCTGTGGATGACCTCCCGGGGACTCAGTGGACCCATCTGGTCAAACGAAGAAGTCACTCAGAGCATTGGTTTACCCAGGTCCAGGGTGCTGAGGGGGGCTGTTCTCGGGGTCTCTGGGTCCCCCATGCCTCCCTTCAACCAGCGAAACTCCTTGAAAATCCATTCTATGTTTCGGGCTTCTGGATAAGTATTCATGGGAATAAAGGATCCCACAACTAAAATACATTTTGTAAAAAGGCTGGTTTGGAGGCCCTTGTGCATACAAAGAGCAGCGCACAGCCCTCCTGCTCCAAGTCTGCTGGTGGAGCTTGAGCCCAGGCAGCCTGTGTGTGAGGGGAGGGCGGCCTGGCTCTCTAGGAGATGGCTGGTTTCAGGGTGACCTTGACCCTGCTATCACGGAGCTCAGTGACCTCTTTGCAGACCTGCTCTGGGCTCAGCTGGGATTCCAGGGACTATCAGCAATTACAGGGGAGTGTCCCTCCCCACTGAGAGAGGTGGAGAAGGACAAGAGCAGACAGCCCTGCAAATGACTCCTCCCTGCCCTCTGTGCCTCAGCGCCCTCATCTGTGAAATGGGTATAATAGGAGTGTCCCTCTTCATAGCATTGCAAGGCTGAAATGAGATAATGTATCTAGAGCTCCTAGTGTGGGCCACCTGGCATGTAGTAAGTGATCAATTAATGGTGGCATGAGTCACTGTTACTCATATTATTATTCGTATCCCCAGAGCCTCACCGGATGCCCTTCGGCTTCTTCAAGAACATATACTGAGCTGGCCTCACTCCAGAGTTGTTTACTTGTGCTTGTCTTCACAAGGTAATTGAGAAGAGGCCCAAAGAGAGCGAGGGCCAGCTCTCCGGCTGCCTGCTTCCCAGGCCAGGCTGTTTCCTTCTCCAGGGCCACTTCTGCAAACTCTTCAAAAGAAACAAGGTCACACTCCCTAGTCTAAGCAAGGGAGGAAACCAAAGGCAGCTTTGATATGTCAGCTTGGGGAACAAGCTGACGGCACGGATCACGAGCGCTGCTTTCTGCCTGAGCAAATGGCTCTAAATGACGTACTTCAGGCTCTCCTCTTAACGTGCTGGGTGTTTATGATTTTTAAAAAAGTGCCTCATCAAAAAAAATGCAATAATGATGCTCCTAACTTAACAGCAGCATTTTAGAAGAGATGAATTATTCACATCAGAGATGAAACAGCGACTCCACAAACTGGGCCAGCTGAAGCAGTCCCTTTCCCGGGAACTATTTTTATCTTTTTTTACAGTCTTTCATCTTGGGAGACACGCGGTTCGCAATGTACGGGGAGCCCATTGCTCAGAGCCCAAGCTGGCAGGATGTCAAACCTGAAGTACTAGGCGTCTTGGAGCTTCTGCCTGGAGTACGAAATCTGAGGAAACTGAAGTGTGGAAAACGGGGCAGCAGCAATGTGAATGAAGATGATTGAGGGGTGTTGGGGACTCCCTGTTTCTTAACCTTGGAGGGCTCTCAGAGGCATGCTTCTCCATCGTTGACCCAGGGCACCATGGAGTTATCCTGCCCTTTATTTTCCTGACATCTAATGATTTCCCACCTAATAATGCGTGGAGCTCTTGGGAAAGAGTATATGGATTCTATATGGTGTGCATGGAACAGCTGGCCCTGAGGAAGGAAGGGATTTCGTTATTGCAAGGCTCAAGGGCAAGGGTGGACCAGCAGGGTCCCAGACTCTACAGGCTTTGACAGTCCAACATTGTCACACTCAACACTTGCCCATTTGCTTAAAAAAGCACCCTAGGCCTGCGCTGTCTGATATAGTAACCATGAGCCACATGGGTACTGAACAGTTGAAATGCAGTTCGACCAAATTGAAAGGTGCTGTGAGTGCAAGCAGCACCTGGGACTTCAGAGACTTAGTACAAAAGGAGAATGTAAATCGTCGCACGGATATTTCTATATCGATTATACATTGAGATGATAATATTTTGAATACATTGGGTTAAATGGAATATATTGTTAAAATTAATTCCACCTGGTTAACAGCCAGGTGAAATTTACTTTTCAACATGTTGCTAGAAATTGTGAAATTACCTATGTGGCTCACTTACATTTTGTTTTTCTTTCTTTTCTTTTCTTTTCTTTTTTTTGAGACAGAGTCTCACTCTGTTGCCCAGGCTGGATGGAGCACAGTTGTGTGATCTCGGCTCACTACAACCTCCGCCTCCAAGGTTCAAGCAATTCTTCTGCCTCAGCCTCCTGAGTAGCTGGGATTACAGGCACATGCTACCACACCCAGCTAATTTTTGTATTTTTAATATAGATGGGTTTTTGCCATGTTGGCCAGGCTGGTCTCGAACTCCTGACCTCAGGTGATCTTCCCACCTCGGCCTCCCAAAGTGCTGGGATTGCAGGCGTGAGCCACTGCACCTGGCCTCACTTTACATTTTTATTGGACAGCACAGCTCTAGAAAGGGAGCTAGGAAGATAGTAACCAGTGGCTGACTCTTGGTGGTGGAATTACAAAAGCCTTTCCCCCCTCGTTTTTTAAAACTATTTTTTCCGTGTTTTCTAAGCTTTGCAGAAATGCCAAAACTAGCCATTGTTGCTTTATATCTGCAAAGGGACAACTACTATTATTTTTAATGACTTTCAGAGCTTGCCGGGAAATGGGACTGAGTTAAGCAGCTTCCTGGAAGCATCAGTGTCAGCAACTATGCTATGGGGAGAGTCAGGGAACAGCAAGAGAGTCTTTAAGGACTCCAGAGATTTTAACTGGGCTCAGGGTTCAAGAGCTCAGGTAGGAACGAGAACCCCAGTGAGGGGTGATGGGGAAGCTTATCAGTGAGACACAGGAAGTGGCTCCAGTGATGGCTTCATAGCTTTGGCCTGGTAGGGCCTCTTCCGGTGTACAAGGCAGGAAGCTGTGCTCTTCCTGCTGGATGTCAGCTCCTATCTCTCCTGGGGAGTGGAGGCTGCTCTGGAGTGGGGCCAAGATTGGGAGGTCCAGGAGAGAAAAGGGCATGCAATCCACCTCCCAGTCAACAAGATGCTATAATAAAAACATAGCCAACAGTCACTCAGTGCTTATTACGGTGCCAGGTGCTGCTTCACATACTTTCCGTATTTTAACTCATCTATTCCTCAATTGCAATCTATGAGATAGGAACTATTATTGTCCCCATTTCAAAGATGAGGAAACAGGTGCAGAACCGTGGAGTAACCTGCCCTGCGTCTCCAGTAGAAAAACAGGCCCTTGGTGAGATGAATTTACCCGCTTCGGCCACCAGGGGCGCTGTTTGCGCAGCTTGAACTCGAGACCACAGCAGTCCAACGGAAACCGAACATAAGCCACATTTCTAGAAAGTACTCAAGAAGAGTGACATTAGTGTTATATTTTCTTTAGCTCGGTATATCCAAAATAGTATCATCTTGGCATGTAACCAACACGACATTTATTAGATACTTTACATTCTTTTTTGTTAGACTATGTCTCGAAATCCAACATGTTGTTTGTACTTAAATGCACTTTAGATGTGAGTCCCATTTTAGGCACCCGGTAACCATATGTGGCTCGTGGCTACTGTATTGGACAGTTCAGCCACTAAAATCAAAGAACTAGCCCAGGATGGCGAATTGGTCCGTCTAGTCTATCAACCTTGATTGTTGGTGTTGGTGCTTGGAGGCACCCTGTGATTGATCAGCAATGTCTGCTGTGAACATGGAAGGGGGCCCGTGGTAGGGTCAGTATACTGACTGATGGTGAGCCATGCCTGCACAGTGAAAAGCGACCTCTGTATTCCTGTGGGTGGGCACACACCAAGGGTCGTGGTGACCTCCCCCTCCTCTGCCCTCCTCCTCCTCTGCCCTCCTGTGGTTTTTACTGTATGTAGTGGGCCAGGCTCCAGGTATACTGATCCTGGGTCTTGTGTTCACATCCCTGTGCCTCTGTTTTCTGGCTGTGACTCCAGATGAGCCGCTATACTTCTGCCAGCCTCAGCTTCCACATCTGAAAAATAGGCATAATAACCACTACTTAGCAGGACTGCTAAATATATGAAGAATTGGCACACAGTAGATGTAGAGTAAGTGGTGGCTCCTCATTCTTCCTCCTGCTTCCCCCCTACTCCCCTTAAGACACACTCAAAGTCTGTCCTCACCCAAAACCCTCTCGGGAGGCAGACAGTTCCTTACTGCGCCTGCTTGGCAATATCTCTGCCCCATCTAAGGCTGAGTAAGGCCTCCTGCTTGCTGGCTTCCTGCAGTGCCCCTCTGCCTGCCCCTTCTGTCAAGGCCAAGGACTGTCTCAGCCTTCAGCAGGCTAGCACAATAGCCCCCCATCTCTGGCTGCACAGCTGGGCTCCAAGTGGGCTCTCACCTGTCAGACAGCTGATGACGCTGAGACACTCTGCTCGTCCCATGGTTTTTTTGTTTTTGTGTTTTTGAGACAGAGTCTTGCTCTGTTTCCCAGGCTAGAGTGCAGTGGCTTGATCTCGGCTCACTGCAACCTCCACCTCCTGGGTTCAAGCGATTCTCCTGCCTCAGCCTCTTGAGTAGCTGGGATTACAGGCATGTGCCACTACGCCCAGCTAATTTTTTTGTGTTTTTAGAAGAGACAGGATTTCACTGTACTGGCCAGGCTGTTCTCAAACTCCTGACCTTGTGATCCACCAACCTCGGCCTCCCAAAGTGCTGGGATTACAGGCATGAGCCACCGCACCTGGCCCTGGTGCCATGTTTTTTAATAACCACTCCCCTCGGCCCCTATAGACAAGGACGTTCTCTTCCCAGCCTCCCGTTAGAACACTGGCTCTCCTCCAGCTCAGCACGCAGAGGCCTCCCGTGTCCTGTGCCAGTTAGCACCTCTCCCAAGACACCTGGGGCCCCCTTCTGGGGAGGAATTTACATCAAGCAACATCTGGAGGAGAGTGAACTGTAAATGGTGAACGCGCTGGCGAGGCAGCGACTCCAATTAAGAAACAACTAGATTTCTCTAAGTATGACGGGAAAGTAATTCTCTGGCCAACAGAGTTTAATCAGAATGTTTTATGCAAGACGTATCCCTGACCCTGACAAATCTTCCCCTTCTTGCTGGAAATTAAACAAATATATTGTCAGCGCGGATTCCGATGAGCGCATAAACAGATGCTGGCTGGTACAATCATAAAATTGAGGATTTTCAACAACTGAGATGAGCAAGGAACAGGCTGGAAGCTCTGCTTTGTCTTCTAGGCTTTTAGCCACTCCTGCTGTGTGCTGGGGGCCCCAGGACAGAAAAGACTTTCTGCATTTTCTGCGGTGTCTCTGCATACCCAGCCCCCAAAGAGATATCCTCTTCCTCCTGGTGACCCGGCAGTCTGAATGGCATCCTGAATTCCCTTCGGTTCCAGCTCCTGCCACCCTGGCCTGGGAGCATTTGCCCCAGCATCTGTCTCCCCTGGCAGGCCGTTCTGATGTGTCTTCACAGCCCTGGCATCCGGGACAATGCCTGGCACACAGCGGACCTTGAACAACTGTTTGCGAGAGGAAGAGAGGGAGGGTGGGAGGGTGAAGTCCGGGGACTGTGCCTTCCAGGAGGTTCCATGATCAAAAGCTGACTTGCTTCTGAGTCTGTGGAGCTGAGCTGCAACTCAGCCAGGTTGCAACTCTGTGTGAGGCACTGTTTACTGACCAGGAAAGTGGGCAGAATGGCAGGTGGTTGCTGTGAGAATTACTCAAGGCAGTTGACTCATCTGGCACAGAAGAGGCATGAGCTGGTGGTGGTGGCAGTCGGTGGCTCACACTCCATAGGAAGCAACACTCACTGTGCTGAGTGCCTTAGTGGCAGTGTCGGGGCAAAGACAGAGGGAAGGCAGGAGAAAGACCAGTGGTTCCATCTCAGAGGAGAGTGCTACTGGGCTGGCTCTTGAAGGCCCAGAGAGGTGACTCACCTAAAATCTCTCAGAGGGGACGTCCTTGGGGCAGCCAGGCTTCCCCAGAGCTTTCCAAACCTAACGCCCAGCTTTCCCCCTTGCGCTTTCCCAGGTGCATGTGGTAGCATGTAGACTCATGGACCCTTATCCAGGTCTCATTGGCTGTGTTGAAAAATCACCTGGAAAACTTTAGAAAATTCTATTCCCCCAGCCCAGCCTTGAAAGCTCTCGTTCAGAAACAGCAGGATGAACGCTGCCCCAGGGTTTGAGACAAACTGCCCAGGTGTGGACCATCCATTTAGTAAATGACTGTAAATGGTAGTGCTTTGGTGACTTGAGCACTCAGTGGGATCCAGACAGACAGAGCAGGTAAGGGAGGACTGAGTGGGTCAGAGCCAGCCTGGCTGAGTCCCTGCTCTCAGTTTTCCAGCCCTTCCCACTGTGTTCACCTGGGGGCAGAGATTTCCATTGCACAGGGAAGGAATGTGCTGTGCCCAGGGACACCTCCCCCACAGATCCCCATCCAAGGACCAGAATGCTGCCTGGCCCCTTGCTACAGCAATCCTGTGCTTTCCTTTCTCTTTGAGTTGGTACTGTTATCTCAACAGCCTTGGCTTTCTGGGTGAAGGTCAGCAGCCATCCAGACAGGCATTGCAGAGTGATAGATTCTAGGGTCAGACAGGCTGGTGCCCTCCTTATGTTATTGACAAAGAAG